CACACATGTACACACACGCACACACACATGTACACACATGTACACACACATGTACACACACACGCACACACACATGTACACACATGTACACACACACGCACACACACATGTACACACATGTACACACACACGCACACACACACATATACACACATGTACACACACACGCACACACACACATGTACACACATGTACACACACGTACACACACACATGTACACACACACATGTACACACACATGTACACACACATGTACACACATACATGTACACACACATGTACACACACATGTACACACACACATGTACACACACACGCACACACACATGTACACACACACATGTACACACACATGTACACACACACGCACACACACATGTACACACACACGCACACACACATGTACACACACACGTACACACACATGTACACACACACACATGTACACACACATGTACACACACACGTACACACACACATGTACACACACACGCACACACACATGTACACACACACGCACGTGCGCGTCGCTGCGTAATCTCTAATTTCTTCCGACAAGGGAAGGAATTTTCGAGTGGCCGTTCATCACGGCCGGGCAAGGCCACCCCGTGCCACACAACACACCCACCCGCTGATGAGTTTTATATACTTAAATAGTAGTAGTAGTCGTTTTATTTATATGTTTATATAAATTACTTGTATATAAATAACTCGTGGAGTTGGGGGGTGACGTTGGTGAAAGGGGGGCGGGGGGGGGGGCCCTGTTTGTGTCGTCTGATCGGTCACAAATAAGTTCCGTGTGGCGTGGCCCGGCGGGCAGAATTTCTAACCAAACTGAACGAACGAAACGTGTTTTTGTTTTGTTCTGACGTTTTAAAAACAAAAATTAGTTTTTTTGTTGTTTTTGTGCCAGGTATAAGGCCCCGACTGAGCTCTGTAAGATTTTGACTTGAAACTTTCCTGACTGCAGGAATTCTTAATGCTTGGTTCTTTCGGTAAAGTCGCGTAGATGGAAAATAAGGAAAAAAATTACAAATGAAAATAAATGTTAAATAATTAAAGGGAAAAAAAGCCTCCGACGGTTCTATGGCAACGCAAGCGGTCTTCATCTCTCCGCCCGAAATAAAAAAAAAATATTATTTTAATTTTTTATCTACTTGACTTCACCGAAAGAACCAAGAATATGAAGCTCATATTCTTGGTTCTTTCGGTAAAGTCACCATGTAGAAGGGAAACAATTCAATAATAAAAATATAAGACAATAAAGTTCTCACGACGTTTCGACTGCAACACAAGCAGTCATCATCACCTGAAACGTCGTGAGAATTTTATTGTTTTATGTTTGTATTATTTTATTGTTTCCCTTCTACGTGGTGGTGACTTTACCGAAAGAACCAAGAATATGAATCCCTGCAGTCACGAAAGCTTTGAATCAAAATGTGAAGCTCTTTAGATATTTTTTTTTCGGAAGCGACCCTGCCCGTCACAAACGAAATGCCTCAACGGAGTGGGCTCCATCATCGTCATCGTCATCATCGTCATTGTCATCGTCATTGTCATTGTCATCATCATCGTCATCATCATTGTCATCGTCATCATCATTGTCATCGTCATCATCATTGTCATCGTCATTGTCATCGTCATTGTCATCATCATCGTCATCATCATCGTCATCATCGTCATCATCATTGTCATCGTCATCATCGTCATCGTCATCATCGTCATCATCATCGTCATCATCATCGTCATCATCATCGTCATCATCGTCATTGTCATCGTCATCATCATCGTCATCATCATCGTCATCATCGTCATTGTCATTGTCATCATCATCATTGTCATCGTCATTGTCATCATCATCGTCATCATCATCTTCATCATTATCATCATCATTGTCATCGTCATCATCATCATCGTCATCATCATTGTCATCGTCGTCATCGTCGTCATCATCGTCATCGTCATCATCGTCATTGTCATCGTCATCATCATCATCATCGTCATCATCATCGTCGTCATCATCGTCATCATCATCGTCATCGTCGTCGTGGAAATGTCTCGCAGTAGCCAAATACTCCAAACGTGCGATTCTAAATGTGGAGGACCCAAACAAAAATCCACGGATATCGAGAGAGAGACATGGAAACTCGAAATATACAGAATCAGAGTATTTATTTACACTGCAGGAGAAATCCGATGAGCCATAAAGCTCTTTTTTCCCCCAAACCTACGACACAACATACACGATAGTCGTGCACGGTGCATGACGGCTAAAGAAATCGCCCCAGGACTCGGAAGAAAGCGCCACACGAAGCCACCCCCGGCCTACCAGGCAAAGCGATATTCACTTCTGTCTCTCTCTCTCTCAGGAGCGACCTGTCCTTCGCAAGGTCTAGCAGCCCATCGAAGCCTGTCGTTTTCCTCCCTTTGCAGAAGCGGCCACCGCCGTGACGACATCACAAACGGCAGCTGGGCCACGACGAACTGGGCTTGCTGTCATCGTCGGCCGCGCGGAAATTTACAGCAAGCAGCCAAATTACTTGTTGAACGCGTGACGTCGATTCTGAATGTGGGGGGGAGGGTGGGGGGAACCGGAGGACCCGGAGAAAAGTCCACGCGGTTGACCACGGAGAGAGAGACACAGAAACTCCAAATACACGGGCGCTACGGTGGCTATGAGATGTTGACTACCTCGCCTGGTGTGCAGGAGGTCGTGGGTTCAATCCTGACCCTGACGCCTGCTGCTGCTGTATATTTGGAGTGTGCGTGTCTCTCTCTCATCGTCATCACGGTGGCTAGGAGATGTTAACTACCTCGCCTGGTATTCAGGGGGTCGCGGGTTCGATCCCGACTCTGACGTGTCAGGCGGTGGCGGGCTTAACGACGCATTAATGCCTATGCAGTCTAACCCAAAAAAACCTCTTATGGTTATGTTAACAAAGTTGTGGGTGGTGACGTCATCGCGCGTGACGTCACAGCGCGTGACGTCACAGGGCGTGCGACGTCACCGCCCTCGTCGGGGCGGCCTGGCGCGTGACGTCGTTGGCGCTCGTGAACTGGTGCGCGCGTGTGTTTGGGGAGCGACGGGGGAATGCGGTGCGTGAGCACGAGATTAGTCTGCCTTGGCTTTCACTCCAAATTCTGTTGTGCGAGCGTGAGCGCGCGGGAGTGTGAGCACGGGAGTGTGAGCGCGGGAGTGTGAGCACGGGAGTGTGAGCGTGCGTACGTGAGCGTGCGTACGTGGAGGGTGGCGCTGCGAACCCGGCCCCCCGGGTTCGATTCCCGCTCACGGCCAAGACCGGTGACTGAGACAAAGTTGGCCGGGCGTGGTGCTGGTAGCCACCCACCCCCTCTGTGCGTGCCACAGTGCCGGTAGCCTTCACAGGTGCTGCTACTCGCTAACAGCACTTGCCCCTACAGTCCGTTGAGGCTACACGGGGGATCTTTGTGTACGCGTGTGCTGAGGCATGGCGGTGCGCGAGGCTCGCTGGGTCACGCTGGAGGTGTGACTCGGTGTGACTCGGTGTGACTGTGTGTGACTCGGTGTCACTCGGTGTGACTCGGTGTGACTCGGTGTGACTGTGTGTGACTCGGTGTCACTCGGTGTGTCTCGGTGTGTCTCCGTGTGTCTCCGTGTGACTCGGTGTGTCTCGGTGTGACTCGGTGTGACTGTGTGTGACTCGGTGTCACTCGGTGTGACTCGGTGTGACTCGGTGTGACTCGGTGTGTCTCCGTGTGACTCCCGTGTGTCTACGTGTGACTCGGTGTGACTCGGTGTGACTCTGTGTGTCTCCGTGTGTCTCCGTGTGTCTCCGTGTGACTCGGTGTGACTCGGTGTGACTCTGTGTGACTCTGTGTGACTCGGTGTGACTCGGTGTGACTCCGTGTGTCTCGGTGTGACTCGGTGTGACTCGCTGTGACTCGCTGTGACTCGGTGTGTGACTCTGCGTGCGTAGGCATGGCGGTGCGCGACGCTCGCTGGCTCACGTTGGAGGTGTGCCGCGTGTGTGTGTGTGTGACTCGGTGTGACTCAGTGTGACTCCGTGTGTCTCCGTGTGTCTCGGTGTGACTCCGTGTGTCTCCGTGTGACTCGGTGTGTCTCGGTGTGACTCGGTGTGTCTCGGTGTGTCTCAGTGTGACTCCGTGTGTCTCCGTGTGACTCTGTGTGACTCTGTGTGACTCCGTGTGACTCGCTGTGACTCTGCGTGCGTAGGCATGGCGGTGCGCGACGCTCGCTGGCTCACGCTGGAGGTGTGCCGCGTGTGTGTGTGTGTGACTCGGTGTGACTCGGTGTGTCTCCGTGTGACTCTGTGTGTCTCCGTGTGACTCCGTGTGACTCCGTGTGACTCGGTGTGACTCGCTGTGACTCGGTGTGTGACTCTGCGTGCGTAGGCATGGCGGTGCGCGACGCTCGCTGGCTCACGCTGGAGGTGTGCCGCGTGTGTGTGTGTGTGTGACTCTGTGTGACTCGGTGTGACTCCGTGTGTCTCCGTGTGACTCGGTGTGACTCCGTGTGACTCGGTGTGACTCGCTGTGACTCGGTGTGTGACTCTGCGTGCGTAGGCATGGCGGTGCGCGACGCTCGCTGGCTCACGCTGGAGGTGTGCCGCGTGTGTGTGTGTGTGACTCGGTGTGACTCGGTGTGTCTCCGTGTGACTCTGTGTGTCTCCGTGTGACTCCGTGTGACTCCGTGTGTCTCCGTGTGACTCGCTGTGACTCGGTGTGTGACTCTGCGTGCGTAGGCATGGCGGTGCGCGACGCTCGCTGGCTCACGTTGGAGGTGTGCCGCGTGTGTGTGTGTGTGACTCGGTGTGACTCAGTGTGTCTCCGTGTGTCTCCGTGTGACTCGCTGTGACTCTGCGTGCGTAGGCATGGCGGTGCGCGACGCTCGCTGGCTCACGCTGGAGGTGTGCCGCGTGTGTGTGTGTGTGACTCGGTGTGACTCAGTGTGTCTCCGTGTGTCTCCGTGTGACTCGCTGTGACTCCTCTGCGTGCGTAGGCATGGCGGTGCGCGACGCTCGCTGGCTCACGCTGGAGGTGTGCCGTGAGTTCTCCCGCGGCTCGTGCTCGCGCGACGCCTCCGAGTGCCGCTACGCTCACCCCCCCGAGGGCGTCACCGTGGACAACGGCCGCGTCGTCGCCTGCTTCGACTCGCTCAAGGTGCCCGCGGAGACGAAGGCAAAGCTGCCCCGAGTAGCCTTCGGCAGGCCGCGGGGGCAAGTCCCGTCAGCGAGCAGCACCTCTTACACGCACACGGACTGTGCAGGGGATGTATAGTCTCGATTTAAAGCTTTCGTGACTGCAAGGATTCATCTTCTTTGGTTCTTTCGGTAAAGTCACCACCACGTAGAATGAGAATAAAATAATAAATTGATAAAATAACACAATAATATTCTAACACGACGTTTCGGCCACAACACAAGCGGCCTTCATCAGGTGAAGGGACGAGACTGTCTGGAGGATAGCGCTGGAGCGAACACAGCCAAGCGCTGTCCTACCAGACAGTCTCGTCCCTTCACCTGATGAAGGCCGCTTGTGTTGTGGCCGAAACGTCGTGAGAATTTTATCGCGTTATTTTATTTTATCAATTTATTATTTTATTCCCATTCTACGCGGTGGTGACTTTACCGAAAGAACCAAAGAAGACGTATAGTCTGTGTGTGTGTGCGTGTGTGAAGGTGTAGCGTGTTTGAGACGGGTGTGTGCGAGTGAAACAGGATTTTGATGGGGAGTGTTCGCCTAGCGGTTAGCGAGCTCACGGCCAACATCAGTTGGCGGTTATCTGAAACGGGTCCCGGGCCTCGCCTAGGTCGACTCGGCCTCAAATGGGTACCCGGTGCGGTGTGTCGTGAACATCGCCACTGGGGAGATGAACGGCTGCCGGGTCACCCACCCTCCCCGGCCTTCACCGATGCGACTCGCTCGCAGCACCGGCCCCAACGGTCCGTTCGGGCTATACGTGGGGGGGGTGGGGGGGGTGGTTGGAATCTTTGTCTTCTGTCTTTGTGTACGGCAAACTAACATCGGTGGGGAACGTCCGAACGGGTCGACTCGGCCTTAAACAATGAGAGTACCTGGTGCGGTGCGTCAACCTCAGCGTTGGCCGAGACCGAGGCGGCCGGGCCGTGGTCTGGCCACACCGGGCCGTGGTCTGGCCACACCCGGTCCCCCCGCTTTTATGTGCCGTGCCGGCCTTCATAGGCGATGCTCGCGAACAGCGCTTGCCCCGGCAAATCTGTGTAGGCCACGCGGCGGATATGTGCGTGTGTGATGGGTACTCCGGAGCAGCACTAGCCCCATCAGGTCTCTTGAGGCTGCGCGCCACGGGTGAATGTCAAAATGTCTCGCACGCAACAACGGGGTCCCAGCGAGCTGGGTTCGACTCCCCGCTCAGACTCTCATCACCGCCAGCAGCAGCAGCAGCTGTGTCACCAGCGAACGGCGAATGTAACACTCTCTTATCTCCAGGAGCCCGGAGAGACAGAGAGATGGAGGGGGGGGGGGGGGAGTGAGTGAGAGGGGGGAGTGAGAGAGAGGGGGGAGTGAGTGAGAGAGAGGGGGCTAGAGAGACAGGGAGTGAGTGAGAGAGAGGAGGAGTGAGTGAGTGAGAGAGAGAGGGGGGAGTGAGTGAGAGAGTGTGAGTGAGAGAGAGGGGGGAGTGAGTGAGTGAGTGAGAGAGAGAGAGAGGGGGCTAGAGAGACAGGGAGTGAGTGAGAGAGAGAGGGGGGAGTGAGTGAGTGAGGGAGGGGGGAGTGAGTGAGTGAGGGAGTGAGTGAGAGAGAGGGGGGAGTGAGTGAGTGAGAGAGGGGGGAGTGAGTGAGTGAGGGAGTAAGTGAGAGAGAGGGGGAGTGAGTGAGTGAGAGAGGGGGGAGTGAGTGAGTGAGGGAGTGAGTGAGAGAGAGGGGGGAGTGAGTGAGTGAGAGAGAGGGGGAGTGAGTGAGTGAGAGAGAGAGGGGGGAGTGAGTGAGGGAGTGAGTGAGTGAGAGAGAGGGGGAGTGAGTGAGTGAGAGAGAGAGGGGGGAGTGAGTGAGGGAGTGAGTGAGTGAGAGAGAGGGGGGAGTGAGTGAGTGAGAGAGAGGGGGAGTGAGTGAGTGAGAGAGAGAGGGGGGAGTGAGTGAGGGAGTGAGTGAGTGAGAGAGAGGGGGGAGTGAGTGAGTGAGAGAGAGGGGGGAGTGAGTGAGAGAGTGAGTGAGAGAGAGGGGGCTAGAGAGACAGGGAGTGAGAGAGAGGGGGGAGTGAGTGAGTGAGAGAGAGAGAGAGAGAGAGACAGGGAGTGAGAGAGAGCGGGGAGTGAGTGAGTGAGAGAGAGAGGGGGGGAGTGAGTGTGAGGGAGAGGGGGGGAGTGAGTGAGAGAGAGAGGGGGGGAGTGAGTGAGAGAGAGGGGGGAGTGAGAGAGTGAGGGATAGAGAGGGGGCTAGAGATAGTGAGTGAGTAAGAGAGAGGGGGAGTGAGTGAGTGAGAGCGAGGGGGAGTGAGTGAGTGAGAGAGAGGGGGAGTGAGTGAGTGAGAGAGAGAGAGGGGGCGAGAGAGACAGGGAGAGTGGGAAGGAGAGGGAGAGAGACACTGCCCCCCTCCCTCTAACCCCCCCCCCAACCGGGGTCTGGTAATTGCTTCCCCCAGCCACCGGTGCTGTTGGCTCCCTACCCTGTTCCTGTCCAGGCTCAAGACCTTCCCCTTCTCTGCCAATGACTAATTTCCTCTCTCTCTCTCTCTCCCATAGACTCACATAGAGACCCACAAACTCGCATCGAGACCCACAGACGCGCATAGAGATACACAGACTCGCATAGAGACACACAGACTCACACAGAAACCCGTAGATTCACACAAAGACCCATAGACTCACACAAAGACCCATAGACTCACTCACATAGAGACCCACAGACTCAAACAAAGACCCATAGACTCACTCACATAGACACCCACAGACTCACACAAAGACCCATAGACTCACTCACAAAGAAACCCACAGACTCACGCAAAGACCCATAGACTCACTCACATAGAGACCCACAGACTCACGCAAAGACCCATAGACGCACTCACATAGAGACCCACAGACTCACGCAAAGACCCACAGACTCACTCACATAGAGACCCACAGACTCACTCGCATAGAGATCCACAGACTCACTCACATAGAGATCCACAGACTCACTCACATAGAGACACACAGACTCACGCAAAGACCCATAGACTCACTCACATAGAGACCCATAGACTCACTCACATAGAGACCCACAGACTCACGCAAAGACCCATAGACTCACTCACATAGAGACCCACAGACTCACGCAAAGACCCATAGACTCACTCACATAGAGACCCACAGACTCACGCAAAGACCCATAGACTCACTCACATAGAGACCCACAGACTCACGCAAAGACCCATAGACTCACTCGCATAGAGACCCACAAACTCACACAAAGACCCATAGGCTCACTCACATAGAGACCCACAGACTCACACAAAGACCCATCGGCTCACTCACATAGAGACCCACAGACTCACGCAAAGACCCATAGACTCACTCACATAGAGACCCACAGACTCACGCAAAGATCCATAGACTAACTCACATAGAGACCCACAGACTCACGCAAAGACCCATAGACTCACTCACATAGAGACCCACAGACTCACGCAAAGACCCATAGACTCACTCACATAGAGACCCACAGACTCACACAAAGATCCATAGGCTCACTCACATAGAGACCCACAGACTCACGCAAAGACCCATAGACTCACTCACATAGAGACCCACAGACTCACGCAAAGACCCATAGGCTCACTCACATAGAGACCAACAGACTCACGCAAAGATCCATAGACTCACTCACATAGAGACCCACAGACTTACGCAAAGACCCATAGACTCACTCACATAGAGACCCACAGACTTACGCAAAGACCCATAGACTAACTCACATAGAGACCCACAGACTCACGCAAAGACCCATAGACTCACTCACAAAGAAACCCACAGACTCACGCAAAGACCCATAGACTCACTCACATAGAGACCCACAGACTCACGCAAAGACCCACAGACTCACTCACATAGAGACCCACAGACTCACTCGCATAGAGATCCACAGACTCACTCACATAGAGATCCACAGACTCACTCACATAGAGACACACAGACTCACGCAAAGACCCATAGACTCACTCACATAGAGACCCATAGACTCACTCACATAGAGACCCACAGACTCACGCAAAGACCCATAGACTCACTCACATAGAGACCCACAGACTCACGCAAAGACCCATAGACTCACTCACATAGAGACCCACAGACTCACGCAAAGACCCATAGACTCACTCACATAGAGACCCACAGACTCACGCAAAGACCCATAGACTCACTCGCATAGAGACCCACAAACTCACACAAAGACCCATAGGCTCACTCACATAGAGACCCACAGACTCACACAAAGACCCATCGGCTCACTCACATAGAGACCCACAGACTCACGCAAAGACCCATAGACTCACTCACATAGAGACCCACAGACTCACGCAAAGATCCATAGACTAACTCACATAGAGACCCACAGACTCACGCAAAGACCCATAGACTCACTCACATAGAGACCCACAGACTCACGCAAAGACCCATAGACTCACTCACATAGAGACCCACAGACTCACACAAAGATCCATAGGCTCACTCACATAGAGACCCACAGACTCACGCAAAGACCCATAGACTCACTCACATAGAGACCCACAGACTCACGCAAAGACCCATAGGCTCACTCACATAGAGACCAACAGACTCACGCAAAGATCCATAGACTCACTCACATAGAGACCCACAGACTTACGCAAAGACCCATAGACTCACTCACATAGAGACCCACAGACTTACGCAAAGACCCATAGACTAACTCACATAGAGACCCACAGACTCACGCAAAGACCCATAGGCTCACTCACATAAGGACCCACAGACTCACGCAAAGACCCATAGACTAACTCACATAGAGACCCACAGACTTACGCAAAGACCCATAGACTCACTCACATAGAGACCCACAGACTTACGCAAAGACCCATAGACTAACTCACATAGAGACCCACAGACTCACGCAAAGACCCATAGGCTCACTCACATAGGGACCCACAGACTCACGCAAAGACCCATAGACTAACTCACATAGAGACCCACAGACTTACGCAAAGACCCATAGACTCACTCACATAGAGACCCACAGACTCATGCAAAGACCCATAGACTAACTCGCATAGAGACCCATAGACTCACTCACATAGAGACCCACAGACTCACGCAAAGACCCATAGACTCACTCACATAGAGACCCACAGACTTACGCAAAGACCCATAGACTCACTCACATAGAGACCCACAGACTTACGCAAAGACCCATAGACTCACTCACATAGAGACCCACAGACTCACACAAAGATCCATAGACTCACTCACATAGAGACCCACAGACTTGTGCAAAGACCCATAGACTCACTCACATAGAGACCCACAGACTCACGCAAAGACCCATAGACTCACTCACATAGAGACCCACAGACTCACGCAAAGACCCATAGACTAACTCACATAGAGACCCATAGACTCACTCACATAGAGACCCACAGACTCACGCAAAGACCCATAGACTCACTCACATAGAGACCCACAGACTTACGCAAAGACCCATAGACTCACTCACATAGAGACCCACAGACTTACGCAAAGACCCATAGACTCACTCACATAGACCCACAGACTCACGCAAAGACCCATAGACTAACTCACATAGAGACCCACAGACTCACTCACATAGAGACCCACAGACTCACGCAAAGACCCACAGACTCACTCACATCGAGACCCACAGACTCGCATAGAGAGACTCTGTGCTATATAACACCACATTGTAAATGGCTGTACAAAGACCGCATTGAGGTAGTGAGGGTGGCTCACAGGGTTCAGAATGGCCGTGTCAGAGGCACTGAGCCAGAACCGCTGAGGCCCCCGGGTTCAAGTCCTGGGTCTGGGTGACTTCTCGCTCTCTCTCTCTCACCGGGGTTCGTAATGGCGGTGTCAGAGGCACCGCGCTGGCACGTGAACACTATTATACATCCACATTGCATTGTGTAATTGCATAGAAGGGAGAGTGTGAGGGAGGTAGAGAGTGGGGCGGGAGTGAACATGTGGTCGTGGGAGATGAGAGAGTGGGCAAGAGGGTGGGAGAGAAGACGTGAGAGTTGGCAGTGGAAGAGGGCGTGAGTCTGAGGATGAGTGACGGCACAATTACAGAGTCACCAGGGGCTCGGAGTTGTGCCCCCACTGCTCGCTCGCTCACCCGCTCGCCCGCCTGCTAGTTCACTCGCTCGCCCACTCTCTAAATTACTCGCCCGCTCGTTCAGTCGCTCGCCCACTATTTAAATCACTCGCCCGCTCAGTCGCTCGCTCGCCCACTCTTTTAATCACTCGCCCACTCTTTAAATCGCTCGTCCGCTCGTCCACTCCCTCGCCCACTCTTTAAATCACTCGCCCGCTCGTCCACTCCCTCGCCCACTCTTTAAATCACTCGCCCGCTATTTAAATCGCTCGTCCACTCCCACGCCCACTCTTTAAATCACTCGCCTTCTCATTCACTCCCACGCCCACTCTCTAAATCACTCGCCCGCTCATTCACTCGCTCGCCCACTCTTTTAATCATTCGCCCACTATTTTAATCACTCGCCCACTATTTAAATCACTCGCCCGCTCATTCACTCCCACTCTTTAAATCACTCACCCACTCGTTAAATTACTCACCCACTCTTTAAATCACTCATTCACTCGCTCGCCCACTCTTTAAATCACTCACCCACTCATTCACTCGCTCGCCCACTCTTTTAATCATTCGCCCACTATTTTAGTCACTCGCCCACTATTTAAATCACTCACCCGCTCATTCACTCCCACTCTTTAAATCACTCACCCACTCGTTAAATTACTCACCCACTCTTTAAATCACTCATTCACTCGCTTGCCCACTCTTTAAATCACTCACCCACTCATTCACTCGTTCGCCCGCCCACTCATTAACTCTCTCGTCCACTCTTTAAATCACTCGTCCACTTGCTCACTCGCTCGCCCACTCTTTAAATCACTCACCCATTCATTCACTCGCTTGCCCACTCATTGACTCGCCCACTCGTTCACTTCTTCGCCGACTCATTCACTCGCCCTATCACTCACTCCTCCACTCACTTATTAATTAACTCGTTCATTCACACAATCACTCGGTCAGTCACGCACCCACTCATCCACTAGCTGTCTCTCTTGCTCGCTCGATCATTCACCAACTCACTCCTACCCAGATACTTGGTCGGTACGTAGGTGAGTGACTCGTTGAATAGGTGAGTGGGCACGTAGTTGATTGAGGGTGGTTAATTGTGTGGGTGGATAATTGGGTGCTTGATTGATTGGGTGGGAGATTGATTGATTGGGTGGATAATTGATTGGGTGGGTAATTGATTGGGTGGGTAATTGATTGTGTGGGTAATTGATTGTGTGGGTATTTGATTGGGTGGGTAATTGATTGTGTGGGTAATTGATTGGGTGGGTAATTGATTGGGTGGGAGAGATTGTTTGGGTTGGTAATTAATTGGGTGGGTAATTGATTGGGTTGGTAATTGATTGGGTGGGAGAGATTGATTGTGTGGGTGGTTGATTGGGCAAGTGATTGATTGGGTGGATTGGTGATTATTCGGTGATTGATTGGGTGGGAGATAGATTTATTGGGTGAGTGATTGATTGTGTGGGAGATTGATTGGGTTCTTGGTCGATTGGCAGGGTGAGTGAGTGGGTAAGTGAATTAATGAGCGAGTTAACAAATTAATGAGCGAGTGGGTGGATAGGTGTGTATGTGAATGGGTGAGTGAGTGAGTGATTGCGTGACTGATTGAGTAGGGTGCTTGGGGTGGGTCAGTGAGGGAGCGAGTGAGTCTGTGAATTAAGGTGCGAGCGGGTGAACAGCAGCATGAGAGAGGCGTGTAAGCGATCCAGTGAGTGAGTGCACCGGTGAGTGAGTGAGCTGGTGAGTAAGTGAGTGAGTGAGCGAGTGAGCCGGTGAGTGAGTGAGCTGGTGATTGACCGCGTGAGTGAGCAAGTGACCGCATGAGCGAGTGAGCCGGTGAGTGAGTGAGCTGGTGAGTAAGTGAGTGAGCGAGTGAGTGAGCCGGTGAGTGAGTGAGCTGGTAAGTGAGTGAGCCAGTGAGTGAGTGAGCGAGCGAGTAAGTGACCGCATGAGTGAGCGAGTGAGCCGGTGAGTGAGTGAGCTGGTGAGTAAGTGAGTAAGTGAGCCGGTGAGTGAGTGAGCTAGTAAGTGAGTGAACCAGTGAGTGAGTGAGCGAGCGAGTAAGTGACCGCATGAGTGAGCCGGTGAGTGAGTGAGCCAGTGAGTGAGTGAGCTGGTGAGTAAGTGAGTGAGCGAGTAAGTGACCGCATGAGTGAGCGAGTGAGCCAGTGAGTGAGTGAGCTGGTGAGGAAGTGAGTGAGCGAGTGAGTGAGCCGGTGAGTGAGCGAGCGAGTAAGTGACCGCATGAGTGAGTGAGCCGGTGAGTGAGTTCGCTGGTAAGTGAGTGAGCCAGTGGGTGAGTGAGTGAGCGAGCGAGTAAGTGACCGCATGAGTGAATGTGCCGGTGAGTGAGCGAGTAAGTGACCACGTGAGTGAGTGATTGAGTGAGCCGGTGAGTGAGTGAGTGAGCCGGTGAGTGAGCGAGCGAGTGACCGAATGAGTGAGTGAGTGAGCCGGTGAGTGAGCGAGCGAGCGAGTGACCGCATGAGTGAGTGAGTGTGCCGGTGAGTGAGCGAGCGAGTGGGGGGGTGTGAGACCCCTGCGTCTTTCAGCACCTTTCACTGCCGGGCGCCCAACGTCACACTCCGCTTTAAGCGCGCGTGCCCGCCGCTCGCTGTAGGCCGCACGGCAGGAAGTCTTTGCAGCTGTCACTGGGCCCAGCCAAGAAGCAAAATAAACAAAAATAATAAAAACAAACAGGGGGATCACACTGCGGTGAAGGGTTCACCATGGCCGTGCTGGAGACAACCGAGCCAGTCCAGCCGAGAGGCCTGGGTTCGAGCCCTCGGTCTGTGTGTGTGTGTTTGTGTCTCTCTCTCAGGGTTCGTAATGGCCATGGCAAAGATGATGAGCCAGTACAGCCGAGAGGCCTGGGCTTGAGCGTCTGTCTGTGTCTCCCTCTCAGGTGTTCATAATGGCCGTGTTAGAGACACACAGAGAGGGATGGGATGCTGAGGTTCCGATGCGGAGGTATTCCAGCGGCCCCTGACCATAACCGGGTTCTCCCTTGTAGTGCGTCGATGGTCTCGGCCCCGTCACCAGTGACTGCACACAAAATAAAAGCCCAGTCCATTTGAAATGTGTTGACTCTCTGCCTCTGAGCTCCGTCTTCCCGAGTCTCCCACCCATCACCGCCACCATCCCCCATCTCCCTGCATCTCCCCCCGTCTTTCTCCCCGCATCCCCTCCCTCCGGTGTATCTCTTGCTCGATGTCTTTCCATATCTCCCCGCGTCTAAATCCCTGCGTCTAAACCCCCGCATCTAAACCCCTGCGTCTAAACCCCTATGTCTACCCCTCGTGTCTAAACCCCTGCATCTAAACCCCCGTGTCCAAACCCCCATATCTACCCCCCGCATCTAAACCCCCATGTCTACCCCTCGTGTCTACCCCTCTCGTGTCTAAACCCTTGCGTTTCCCCCCACGCCTATTTTGCATCTACCCCCATGTCTACCCCCATGTCTAACCCCTGCGCCCGACCCCTGTGTCCGACCCCCGCGTTCTTGACCCCCGCGTTCTTGACCCCCGCGTCCTTGACCCCCACGTTCTTGACCCCCGCGTCCTTGACCCCCGCGTCCGACCCCCCCCCCCCACGCACCCAACAGGACCGCTGCACACGCGACAGCTGCAAGTACCTGCACCCGCCGCAGCACCTGAAGGCGCAGCTGGAGATCAACGGGCGCAACAACCTGCTGCAGCAGAAGAGCGCCGCACTGCTAGCGCAGCACATGCACATGGCGAGCACGGGCGCCACCTGCACCCTGCAGGCGCCACAGGTGCACCCCATGGTAATCACGATGATGTGTTGACGATGACGACGACGACGACGATGACGTCGACTTGTGTAGCGCCGCCGCGGCCGTTCCCGCGGATTAGTCGGGAATGTGAGGAGCCGGTCATAGGCCGAAGCCTCGACAAACTGGAGCGTAGAGGCCTTGATGGGTAGGCCATAGGCCGAAGCCTTGACAAACTGGGAACGCAGAAGCCTTGATGGGTAGGCCATAGGCCGAAGCCTCGATAACCTGGGAACGCAGAGGCCTTGATGGGTAGGCCATAGGCCGAAGCCTCGATAACCTGGGAACGCAGAGGCCTTGATGGGTAGGCCATAGGCCGAAGCCTCGATAACCTGGGAACGCAGAGGCCTTGATGGGTAGGCCATAGACCGAAGCCTTGACAAACTGGAGCGCAGAAGCCGTGATGGGTAGGCCATAGGCGGAAGCCTCGACAACCTGGGAATGCAGAGGCCTTGATGGGTAGGCCATAGGCCGAAGCCTCGATAACCTGGGAACGCAGAGGCCTTGATGGGTAGGGCATAGGCCGAAGCCTCAACAACCTGGGAACGCAGAGGCCTTGATGGGTAGGGCATAGGCCGAAGCCTCGATAACCTGGGAACGCAGAGGCCTTGATGGGTAGGCCATAGGCCGAAGCCTCGATAACCTGGGAATGCAGAGGCCTTGATGGGTAGGCCATAGGCCGAAGCCTCGATAACCTGGGAATGCAGAGGCCTTAATGGGTAGGCTATAGGCCGAAGCCTCGACAAACTGGGAATGCTGGGAAGATCTGCACCCCCCCCAACCCCGGTGTGAAGCAGTGCGTCTCTTGACGCCTCACGTTCCTCCCCCCCCCCTCTGTGCCCCCCCCCCCCCCCCCCACCATCTCGCAGATCTATCCGATGCTGCAGGGTTTCCCACCGACTCACGCGGGGGGCATCTTCGCCCAGGGCCACTCCCCCTACGCCCCCTTCTCCCCGTACCTACCCATGCTGTCGCAGGCCCCCATGGGGCTCTTCACGGACCTCTCCCTCGGGGGCCACCTCCTCTTCCCGGGGGGCTCCTACCTCCCACAGCTGGCGCTGGGGGACCCCACCGGCGGCGTCATGGCCCCCTCCATGGCCCCCTCCGCGGCCAGCATGGCGGGGGCCATGGCCGCGGCTGCCGCGGCGGCCGCCGTGTCACAGAAGGCCTTCCGCGGCGAGGTGAGGGGGAGGGGGGGAAGGGGGGGCGGCGGCGGCGGCGGTGGCGGTGGCCTGTGTTGAGTTGTGGTCCAGCGGTGGCGGTGGTGGTGGTATTGGTGGTGGTGTTGGTGGTGGCGGTGGTGGTGGTGGTGGTGGTGGCGGCGGTGGTGGTGGCGGTGGTGGTGTTGGTGGCGGCGGCGGTGGTGGTGGCGGTGGTGGTGGCGGTGGTGGTGGTGGTGGTGGCGGCGGTGGTGGTATTGGCAGTGGTGGCGGTGGTGGTGGTGGTGGTGGCGGCGGTGGTGGTATTGGCAGTGGTGGCGGTGGTGGTGGTGGCAGTGGTGGTGGTGGTGTGGCGGCGGTGGTGGTGGTGGTGGCGGCGGTGGCGGCGGCGGTGGTGGTGGCGGTGGTGGTGGTGGTGGTGGCGGCGGTGGTGGTGGTGGTGGTAGTGGCGGTGGCAGTGGCCTGTGTTGCGTTGCGGTGTGGCGGTGGGTGGTGGTGGTGGTGGGGTAAGGCGGTGGTGATGTTGTGGTCGTGGTGGTAATGGTCGTGGTGCTCGTGGTGATGCTGGTGGTGTTAGGTGGAAGTTCTGGATGGTGGTGGTGTTGTTTAGTGGTCGGGTGTTGTGGTCGTATTGGTAGTCGTGGTGGCATTAGTGGTGGTGTTCGGTAGTGGTTCGGTGAGGGTGGTGGCGCGTGGTGGTGGGATCTCGTGGTTCGTAGCGGTGGTGGTGTTCAGTGGTTTGGCAGCGGGCTTGAGTGTCTGGCGCACGTACCGTATGTATATTGTATATCGACACCCCGATCGAACACAGGCCAACAGCGTCATTGTTGAGCTGGTTGACAATTTGTTCCATTAGCAAGCACAAAAGTAGCACTTGCGCAACAATTGTTGGTATCTAATTGCAATTCGACACCGGGTCGGTGTCTGATTGAGCTGGAACGAGGCTCTTGGCCGCGGTTGGTGATGGTGGTGGTGGTGATTGAGCGGTCACGTCTCTCTGCCCCCTGGCATCTCCATGTGTGCCGTCTGCCTCTGGTGCATCGTCTATTCCGTCCAGTTTTGTGTTGTCCCGTCTCCTCCGCATTGTTGCTTCTGGTTGGCTTTGTTCCATCTCGGTTTTTTTTTAATATATATAGTTTGTCTCATTTCTTCCCTTGGCCTGAAGGTAAAGCAAATGTTGGCGTGCAACATTTGCAAGGTGAGCCTGCACAAATTGGAAACGATCGATTCGCCACGACACGGTGCACGTTGAATCGATGCCCTTTGCTCAGTCAGTCGGTCGCGATGCGGTTGGTCGATTGAAACGTCGTCGGCTGTCTAGCCTTAGTTGGGGGCACCCCCAGCGGCGGCTTTCCCTGCGTGGCACGAGGCTCATCTTCACGCTGGTAGCAGGCACCGCTGCTGCTGTGTCACAGATGCAGCCTGCGGTGGTTTGACAGGATGGCGGGCGATGTTGCTGCCGTGCGGGTGGTCAGGTCGAGGGGCACCCCCAGCGGCGGCTTTCCCTGCGTGGCACGAGGCTCATCTTCACGCTGGTAGCAGGCGCCGCTGCTGCTGTGTTGTCTAGTCTAGGGGGGGCGGGTGGCCAGCAACCACGCACACACACGCACACACGCACACACGCACACACGCGAACACGCACACACGCACACACGCACACACGCACACACGCACACACGCACACACGCACACACGTCCCGTACGCCCCTCTCTGGAAGCCGTGCCACCGACCCTCGTGCACCCATCCTGGCACCCACCACCTCCCTCCCCCCTCGGCCTCCCACCCCGTCCGGCCGCATCACCGCCCCTCAGCCACATTGGTGCCGAATTACCGCACCCTTGTGAATTCTGGCATCGGGGCGGCGGTTTCAACCGTCGCCCGGCCCGGATCCGCCGATGTTTACCGGACCGGAGTGGCCACTCTGCTCCGGAGTTGGCACATGCAGACAGAGAGAGAGAGCGAGAGTGAGAGACATAGAGAGAGAGAGAGAGAGCGGGTTGGGGTGATGTTAAATAATGAATTGAATTGGCACACGATGCAGGACTGGGTTCGCCTCGTAAACATTACAAAGATGACGATGACGACGATGACGACGACGGTGATGATGGTGGTCAAGTTTTCAAGTGTGTTGTAAACTATGAACTGTTGTTATTTTTGCCAGGTAAGGTCACACTGAGCTGTGTGCAGTTATCACAAACGGAGTGGCTTGTCATCGTCACCGTGTGGACGTTTACAGCGGTGGCAAAACTGCTCTAAAATTGCGTGATGTCGACTCTAAATGTGGAGGGTAAACCGGAGGACCCTGAGAAATATCCACGCGGCTACGGAGGGCCGTCAAGGTCGGGATGGAACCCACAACTTTCTGTATGCCAGGCGAGGTGTAGTTAAGGGGGTAGTGTTTAAACCCGGCTGACAACTCGAGAGACCAGTCGCATTTGCAAGAAGTGGCCCTGGTTCTCGTCTGTCATCAACATGACATAGAGATGCAAAGGTATTGTACGTAGAGATGCATAGAGCTGCAGAGAGATGCCTGTTGTCCAAGTTTTCAAGTTTGTGCGAACAACTGAGTACTCAAAAGACCGGGATAGCAGCCTGATTTACAAGCAGTGACCCTGGGTCATTTGTCTGTCGGTAGGGGGGCGATCGTTGCTACTGTGTGTGGGTCTAGCCTAGGGGCACCCCCAGTGGTAGCTGTCCCTGTGTGGTTATTAGTCTGGCAGTAGGTAGGTGATGATTGCTGCTGTGTGTGGGTCTAGCCTAGGGGCACCCCCAGTGGCAGCTGTCCCCGTGTGGTTATAGTCTGGCAGTAGGTGGGTGATGGTTGCTGCTGTGTGTGGGTCTAGCCTAGGGGCACCCCCAGTGGGAGCTGTCCCAGTGCATGATGATGAGGACATGGATTAAATCCATGATGATGCTAATGACAACAACGACATTTATAATGATGATGATGATGCTGCTGGTTTCGCAGCCTCCCTCTGCTGATGATAACGATGATTGGGTTGATGACGATGTTGAAGATTATGCCCCTGACGACAATGACGGTGGTGGTGGTGGTGGTGGCCGCGGGGGTCCCGCCGGTAATTTTTCATGGGCCTCGTGAAATTACCATCACTCAGTACAGTGCCGTGTCCTTTACTCTCAAAATAACCCCTCATTTGATATCTCGATCCCCTGATGCACACTCCCCCCACTCGCCCTCCCACCGTCTCAACCTCACGGTATTTTTAGCATCGTCGCCTCCGATCTCTTGAGCGGCTGTGAGCTCTAGACGCACGGTCTCCCTGTGTGGACTATGAGTTCTAAACGCACGGTCTCCCTGTGTGGACTATGAGTTCTAGACGCACGGTCTCCCTGTGTGGACTATGAGTTCTAGACGCACGGTCTCCCTGTGTGGACTATGAGTTCTAGACACCCGGTCTCCCTGTGTAGACTATGAGTTCTAGACACACGGTCTCCCTGTGTGGACTATGAGTTCTACACACCCGGTCTCCCTGTGTGGACTATGAGTTCTAGACGCACGGTCTCCCAGTGTGGACTATGAGTTCTAGACACCCGGTCTCCCTGTGTGGACTATGAGTTCTAGACGCACGGTCTCCCTGTGTGGACTATGAGTTCTAGACGCACGGTCTCCCTGTGTGGACTATGAGTTCTAGACGCACGGTCTCCCAGTGTGGACTATGAGTTCTAGACGCACGGTCTCCCTGTGTGGACTATGAGTTCTAGACACCCGGTCTCCCTGTGTAGACTATGAGTTCTAGACACACGGTCTCCCTGTGTGGACTATGAGTTCTACACACCCGGTCTCCCTGTGTGGACTATGAGTTCTAGACGCACGGTCTCCCAGTGTGGACTATGAGTTCTAGACACACGGTCTCCCTGTGTGGACTATGAGTTCTAGACGCACGGTCTCCCTGTGTGGACTATGAGTTCTAGACGCACGGTCTCCCTGTGTGGACTATGAGTTCTAGACACCGTGTCTACTAGTGTGGACTATGAGTTCTAGACACCCGGTCTCCCTGTGTGGACTATGAGTTCTAGACACCGTGCTTACTAGTGTGGACTATGAGTTCTAGACGCACGGTCTCCCAGTGTGGACTATGAGTTCTAGACACGGTCTCCCTGTGTGAACTATGAGTTCTAGACGCACGGTCTCCCTGTGTGGACTATGAGTTCTAGACACCCGGTCTCCCTGTGTGGACTATGAGTTCTAGACACTCGGTCTCCCAGTGTGGACTATGAGTTCTAGACACTCGGTCTCCCAGTGTGGACTATGAGTTCTAGACGCACGGTCTCCCTGTGTGGACTATGAGTTCTAGATGCACGGTCTCCCTGTGTGGACTATGAGTTCTAGACACCCGGTCTCCCTGTGTGGACTATGAGTTCTAGACACCCTGTCTACTAGTGTGGACTATGAGTTCTAGACGCACGGTCTCCCTGTGTGGACTATGAGTTCTAGACGCACGGTCTCCCTGTGTGGACTATGAGTTCTAGACACACGGTCTCCCTGTGTGAACTATGAGTTCTAGACGCACGGTCTCCCTGTGTGGACTATGAGTTCTAGACACCCGGTCTCCCTGTGTGGACTATGAGTTCTAGACACACGGTCTCCCTGTGTGGACTATGAGTTCTAGACACACGGTCTCCCTGTGTGGACTATGAGTTCTAGACGCACGGTCTCCCTGTGTGGACTAGGAGTTCTAGACACCCGGTCTCCCAGTGTGGACTATGAGTTCTAGACGCACGGTCTCCCAGTGTGGACTATGAGTTCTAGACGCAAGGTCTCCCAGTGTGGACTATGAGTTCTAGACACCCGGTCTCCCTGTGTGGACTATGAGTTCTAGACGCACGGTCTCCCTGTGTGGACTATGAGTTCTAGACGCACGGTCTCCCAGTGTGGACTATGAGTTCTAGATGCACGGTCTCCCTGTGTGGACTATGAGTTCTAGACACACGGTCTCCCTGTGTGGACTATGAGCTCTAGACGTACGGCCTCCCTGTGTGGACTATGAGTTCTAGACAC